TGTTTTCTTGAATGTTTCTAGAATCTGATGGAAGATGAACCAGAGAAGTATCAGTCTCACTTCAGTGGGTATATAAAGAGAGGAATTGAAGCAGATGGCATTGAAGAGATGTACAAGAAAGTTCATGTTACCATCCATGTCGATCCAACTACTAAGAAGTCTGAGAAGCAGCCACCCAAGGAGCACAAGAGGTGATGAAATTTTTAACAGAATAAATCTTATTGTCTTGGCACATATGGGTAAAATGTTCAGTTTGAAATGGCCTTATCAAGTTTTAGCTATTTGATTTGGCAAATATTGTCTTTTGGCTTTCTTATGATGCAAGAGGGGATTGCTTGGGTAATATTATCATTGCGTGAGAATACTATCTTAATGCATTTCCAGTATCTGCATTGTTTATAGCATTTTTGCTCATAGGCACTGTTAACTCCTGTATAGACATGGTAGTGTTGGAAGAGTTTATTTTTTCAAACAGTGATTGAACAAGAGGAAGTAATAATTGTACAACTGTTCAAAACCACTGGTAACTCCTTGAAAGCCAAGATCGTGTTGGTGAAGCTTTTTTTTTCAAACCCTGATTGAACTAGAGGAAGTAATAATTAGATGGTTGTTCCATTTTGAGTAACATAACCCTGATAATTTTCCCTGGATATATACCTTTTGGTAATGCCATCTTTTTTATACCTCAGGTACAATTTGAAGTAGCTTACATACGAGCAGAGGAAAGGTAAGCTGATTGAGCAATTGAATGCTCTTAATGCTGCTGCAGGATTTGATGATGAAGATGTTGAGGATGATGAGTGAAAGGAATATAGTCAGAACAGAGCAAGTTTATAGTTCGTGTTTTCCTCACTACATACATACGCTGCTCAAGGCAGTTCAAATTAAGACCATTTTGTTCTTATGAAATTTTGTTTTACTTTTTCAGCATTATTGCAGCTTGTAGAGCCTTTTTATATTTTGATGGTGACAAGATATTGGACATTAATTTGATATGGAATGCAATTTCATTTTGGAATTCTTGTTTTTGATGGATAAACAAATCTGGTAATCTGTTGTCCAAATACTAACCTTGATTCTTATGCTACAGGCTTTTGGTTCGTTATGGTCACAGAAATCATATTCTAATGGCACTCACATATATTCTCCTATTCCGGTTGACAATAGGCATTTTTCGATCAATTCCAAACCTAATAAAACTTTATTTGATTTTGCTATTTTTTAGTATGCTCATGATTCCAAAGTGGTTTATCTCTTTGGTCAGTATGATTGGGCGATGTTAGTTGCGTGAACCTCTGATGTTGAATCTGCCTAAGAAAACCAGGAAGCCATCAGGTCCGGTGTCTTGCACTAGAATGCTAGTAGCTGTTAAGGGATTTTTCTTTTATTCTTAGGTGATCGGGTATTGGGTTTGGTGTTGTTGCATAAGCAGTTACCCTTGCATTGTGGTGGACTAGACCGAAGATCAAAGGTTTTGGCATGTGCTCCGTTGTCATTAGTTCGCTCGTAACTAGTTTGAAAGACTCATAACCCGGTGAAATCCTGCAAACCTTTGGACCTGTACGTTTGTGGGGAAACAAGAGAACAAATGGACATGAGAAAGTCTTCTGGAAAGTGATATTCAAAACCAATCCTTATTATTGGCAACTAAAACTACTTTTCATTAAATGTATCAAACAGCATTTTGATTTTCGACCTTGTTTTCTGAAATTTCATAAACTGAAAACTGCTGTTAATATGACTGCATTTTACATTTTTTATTTTGACTCCTAAAATTTCAATTTATGATGGTATTTTTTGAAAATAATCAACAAATCAAATTTACCAGTCAACTGTCAGATTTGATAAGAAAATCACATATAAAATATTATAGTTTCCCAGTCAAATATTGTTATTTATAGAATTATAAGATAATTCTCAGGAACATATCCCCTCAAAATCTTCCTCATTTTGTGCTGCAAACTTGGTCTCTTGAACAAGTCTTTCTACACTGCCACCTTTGGCTGCTCCTCCGCCATACCTACCTCTACCTTCGGCTGCTCGACGATGGCGTTTTCAATTTCTTCTGTAGGTGGAATTTATTCACATTTGAAAATTTTAATCTCTTTGCTCTTTCTTGATTTTAATGTAATGCTAGTTTATGAATAAAATTTTCTCCTTTCTTTGACGAGGTTTTATTTAAAAAGAAAAAAAAATGATATTCGACTCTATTAGTCATATTTTAGTTCATTGTCTAATTTGTTTTTCTGTTCACTATTTTTAGTTAATTGTTTGAGTTTACTGGTTATTCAATATTTTTAAGTTTATACTTTCCAAAAAAAATAACTTTGTTTTGAGCGAGTTCACAGTTCTTGAATTCACTATTTTTTTTTCCTATTTTTGAGTTTATTATTTTTTAATTCATCAATCCCATCATTTTTTTTGAGCAAGTTCACTGTTATTTACTATTCTTAAATTCACTGTTTTTTGCTGTTGTTGAGTTCATTGTTTTTAAGTTTACTGTTTGTGAAAATTTTGTAAACTAGGAGTTTTGTTCTATTAAATTTCACTATTTTTAGATTCCACTGTTTATGTTTTTTTAAATATTTTTTGAGTTCACTATTTTTAATATATGTTCCTCAATTCAAATTTCTAATATTTTTATAGTTCACTGCTTGTGAAAAATTTGGACAGTGAACTAAAAATTTTATTCTATTAAAGTTCACTATTTTTGGAGTTTAGTGTTTATGTTTTATTTAATATTTTTATTATATATTTTTCAATTCAAATTTTTAATATTTTTGCAATTTACTATTTGTGAAAATTTTGGACAGTGGTGGTGATGGGTGGCGGCGATGGTGGTAGTGGACTACGACAGTAGTTGTAGTGGTGGTGGTGGGCGGTGGTTATGGCATTGGTAGTGGACGGTGGTGGTGATGTTGGTGGTTGTGGTATGCGGCAGTGGTTGGCAACTACGGCGGTGGTGTCGAGTGGTGGTGGTGGATTTTGTGTAATAATGCTAGGGGGTAAAAGTTGGGCGGGTAAAAAAAAAAAATTTTGGGCAGGCCAACCCTAACCCAACCCAAAAAATCAAGACTTGGGTTGAAATTTTTAAAACTTGGACTGGGCCTGGATCAGAAAAACCCTGAATTCAATTTGGGCAGTACTTGGGTTTAGGTGTCGAGTTTAAGGGTTCAACTCGAATCTAACCCGAAATGATGAAACCTGGTTCAACCCGATTATACAATTCGAGCTTAAAAAAAATGAAAAAAATTATTATAATATATCTATAATTTGTAATATAAAATAAGACGACTTCAACAAGCTCATCTTACATCTCAAATTCATTCACTCGGTCAAGAAGTAACCTCTCAAGAATTTAATATCTAATATTTTTCCCCTTAGTTCCCTCATTGTCAAGCTCACTTCTCAACTTTCACTCGCTCTCTCTCTTCTGCCTGTCACCCAATTTCTCTCCCTTATTCTCTAATATCTAATCTAATCCTTCTTTCTTCTCTATCCACTTTCTCTTCTCTATTTTCTCGAACAACCACCCACCACTCCCAAGCCGCCCTACTACCCACTACCATGGAGAACTCCCTCTCTCTCTCTCTCTCTCTCTCTCTCTCTCTCTCTCTTGTCTTCTCTGTAGCACCCATGCACATCACACAACACAAACACCCAGCACACACTCTCTCACACCCACCAAACACATACACTTTGCACAAACACACCTACCCACCACACGCACACACAAATCTCTCGTGTCGACATGTGGAAAGAATCGATGGACTGGCAGTGAAGAAGGGGAAGAGAGGGGACACCCTCTTCTCTCTCATATCTCTCCCGATGTCACACCCCAACCACCACTAGCTAGTCCCCAAGATGGCGCCACCGGAGCCACCAACGAGGTACTCTCCATCTTATCTCTCTTTTTTTCTCTTGACTCCTACCCTTCCTCCTTTTTGCCACTGTCTTCTTCCCTTTATCTGCTTCTTATCCCTTACCCATCTCCATGCCATCGACTCCACAGATAATGAATTTAACCTCCTCATTGCCAATCGACAAATTCTCCTTTTCCCCCTCTTTGTTTCTCAACAGATCACCAAACATTATTGATTATGCACAAATTGGGTTTGTACACCACCTTTCAAATGATCAATAATAAAATGCAGTAATAAAGTAGAGAGAGATAATAAGCTAAATGAGATAAGGATTTACAGTGGTTCGATCGACACGACCTACGTCCACTTTGAAGGGCTAATGTTGTCTGGGTATTTTATTATTTCAAGGTATGTAGTGAGAGTAGGGAGATAAAGCTAGGAGAGTTACAGATGTGTTGAATTAAGTATGATGTCCCCCTAAGTGTTGGCGGGGCTTACAATTTATAGTCGCCTTCTAACAGATTGAGGCGGTTTATTAGTAACTAAATGACTAATCTGGTGGAGCTGACGCCCTCTTTTTAATGGATGAGGCAAATACGACGCTCACCATAAGATTCGGTCAAAGAATGACATGGGGGTTGACACTTTCTAAGGCGGTGTGGATGAGGATCTTGGATGATCCTGCTTACTCCCTTGGCGATGTAGCTCCTCAAACCCCGATGAGCTTGACTGGGCATGGACTTTACTAGATCTCTTTAATTTGGGCTCTTAATTTAAATTGGACTTATAACATGAGTTGGGCCATTGGGCATGACTCATCATTTTTCCCCCAATGCCCTATGTTAAATGAAACTTGGAGAAGAGGGCATTTGGTTGAACCTTGAATTCCAATTGGTTGAGACCCTTTTTGACTGATGACTCTTCCCCTTTGTGATATATCTCACCTCTGTAGAGCATCTCAAGACCTTTCCCATTTTTAATTGGATTCTATAAGAACCCTTGGTTTCAAATAGGTACTTTCCCCCTTTTCCCGTTCCATCACTTAATAGGTATTTAAAAATCCTAGGCTATAAATGGGGAGTGTCTTCCCCATTGCACTCATTTTTGGGAGAGAGTTCCTTCTTGAGATACTTGAAGACCCAAGGTTAGAGATTTTGTTCCTAAGATGAGTTCTCAGAAATTAATGTCGAGCGAAGGAGAGGAGATACGAAGGTTCACTAGTTTCCATGGCGATGGAGCAACTAGCATAGAGGTAGGCAACGGGGCCGCTGATGGACATGGTAGCGTGGAGGTGCTGGGCGAGCCAGCTAATCATGCAAGAGAGGCGCTAAAGCTGGTTGTCGCTGGTGTGGAGGCGTTGGGCAAACCAATTGTGCGCGCAGGGAAAGCGGAGTTGAGCACTACTGGTATGGAGGCGCTGGGAGATCTGACTGTGTGGGTAGGAGAGGTAGAGTTGGGCGTCGCTGGGCGCCCATGCAGGCGAGGTGAGGGATGAGGCAGCCCAGCTAGTGGGCACCGCAGGCCAAATGACCTACCGTTGGGCGGCGCTGGTCAGGCAACCTAGGCGTTGGGCACCACTGGCTAGGCAACCCAGATGCTTGGCGAGGAGTTGTTGGCAGCGGGCACTTTTGGTGGTGACAATTCTGGTAATATGACAGATGATCTGGCTTGTTCAGGTGGAACTTCTCAAAGTCAGATTCCTCAAGGCTTCCTCGGTAGTGGCTCGGGCAACATTTTATGCCCTCGCAACAGAAAACACCAAGGGAAGGTAGCTTTTGATGATGACGGATCCAAAGTAAGTACCATTTCTTATACACTTAATACTGATGCTGATATCCTACAAATTTTCTCCACTTACAACATTCTTCCAACGGTATTGTGTCGTCGAGCTGAGATGGGTGAGCCTGCTTATGATGACTCCTTTGGAGACATTACGATCTATGAGGAGATGCTTGAGGCTGGGCTCAAGTTCCCAATGCCTTCTTCCATTTGTCGTATTCTGCATTACTTTTCACTTGCACCAAGGCGGTTGGTGCCCAATGGTTGGAGAGTTTTGCTTGGTTTTCTGGCATTGTGGAGGAAGGTGCATCATGAGGATGCCTCCCCTAATGAGTTTTATACATCTTATACTTTGAGTGAGACTCCTGCTCCTAATCGAGGTTGGTACTATTTTACTACAAGAGGAGGTAAGTTGATTATCGGATTGCGCTCCAATTGTCGTAGTTGAAAGTCTTGTTTCATGTTCGTCACCAGAGAGTGGGCTTCAGAGGCTGATAAGGCTTTGTTACCAATAAGAGTACTCCTAAAAAAGTTGGTATGCCCTACACTTACTCTCTCTCCTTTGCCTTTTTTGTGACTGTGTACTCATCACACTCCTTGCAAGTTCTCCTGTGCTCTTAAAGGACCAAGAGTGGAAGTTATAGATTGTGAAGGCTCATCCTGTAAAGGGCTTTGGAGCTCGCATGCTCAAAGATGGTGGATCCAACAGTTCCCCTACATTCAGTGCTAGGGCTGGTGCACCCTCTCCGAGATCCGACAGTTCCTCCTTGAAGAGAAAAGGTACGTTGATTCTCTTGTACTTTCCTCATTTACTTAGTTTTTCATTTAGATGACACTTTTATCTCTCTTATAGGGGATAAAACTGTGGTAGAGTCCTGTTATTCCACTAGGAGTACTTCTTCTCCTAAGGTGGCGAGGATGAGCGATGTTTTGACAATCTCCTCTCAAGCGACCGCTTCAGGGGTGCCTCCTTGGTCGGCGACTCCTTCAGATATGACTGTTACTCTAGAGACTCCCTGTCGACCACACCTCTTGCCCCCCATCCATTGACTCCTCCTGTGGGAACTTCTATAGGAGCACCTACTCAGATTGGCTCCATGTTGGGTAACGTGCAAGTCATCAGGGATCGACTTGAGAGGTTTGTGTTTTTGACATACGTTAATGAGATTAGTGCTTTGGGCACCGAGGGAATCATCAACACTTTTCTGGAAGGTTTGGCTTAGGTAAGGGTTTGTTGTCCCCTTTTCTCTAGTCCTTCCTTAGGCATTTGACATTCTTTTTCCTTTTTCAGGTTTTAACTGCATCTATGTGTTTATTTTCAAGGGCTTTTTATTATAGCCAGCTAAATCATAGTCATGAGGCTGTGAAAAAGGTGTTTTTTGCTGCCTAGTGGAGGATTGCTGAGCTTGAAGCTGATGGTAGGGCATCCCAGGCTGAGCTTGTAGCGACGCATGAGAAGGCCGCTTAGAGAGACTGCCTGCACAAGGGTTGAAGCAAAGTTTTTGGCAATCTGCAAGAGGGCGGCTAAGCTTGAGGTTGAGCTTTTAGCGACCTGTGATAGGGATGCACTCAGGGAGGCTGAGCTTTTGGCGACTCATGAGAGGGTCGCACTCAGAGAGGCTACCTATTTAAGAGCGAAGGCAGAGGCAAAGGAAGCTCACGAGATGGCTTGTCGGGCTAAGGCAGATCTGCTATTGGCTTATGAAAGGGCTGTAAAGGCTGTGAGTGATTTGGAGAGTGGCTTTGCAGTGCCTTCATTGATGGTTACGAGGAGTTTTGGGGAAAGATTTATGTTGCTTTCCCTGATATTGATCTTTCAGGTTTCGTGTCATATGAGGTGGCTGATGATAGTGATGGAGGTTCTAATAATAGTGATGCTGAGGGTGAGGAGGAGGAGGAAGAGGACGACGACCATGAGAGTGGTTAGAGTGCTGGGGACTTTTTATTTTTTTTTGTTTAGAAAGGCAGTCCATAGCCTTACTTTTGTAAAAGTGGTTTTTTATCACTGATATTCTTTTGAAATAGAATGCAAGAATGCAAAGAACTTTTGAAGTCAATTTAGAAAATTTTATTCATTCAATGACTACTTATGCTAAGTAATAGTGGGTAATAACCTAAGAAAGGTACAATAAGTAAAATCAAGTTTCCCAACTTTACTATTATTCTCCTAAGGTGTCATTGGTAGTACCTTTTCAGGTGCTTAACGTTCCACGGATGGGGTAAGACCTTCTCCTCAAAATTCTGGATCTTGTAGGTACCTAGTCTCACCACTTCTATTATGAGGTAGGGTCATTCCTTGTTTGGTCCTAGCTTTCCTTCTCGCGAATCCTTTGTGGCAAGGATCACTTTCTTGAGGACCAAGTCTCCCTGGTTGAAAGGACCGAGGCTTCACCCTAGAGTTATAGTATCTTGCCATGCGGTGCTTGTACTCTACATTGCAGACCACAACCATCTCCCTTGCCTCCTCCACCAAGTCGAGGTTGATGTGGAGTCCTTCCTCGTTGGTGATGGGGTCGTGGTGTTGGACCATTAGAGAATGTACCCCGATCTTCACAGGTATGACTGCCTCAGTTTCAAAGGTGAGGGAAAAGGGGGTTTCACTAGTTGGGGTTCTCGACGTCGTTCAGTAGGCCTATAATACACTTGGAAGTTCGTCAACCTAGAGACCCTTTGCTCTTTAGAGTCTTGTCTTTAAGATTTGTAATACTATTCTGACCATAAATTTTGCCTATCCGTTTGCCTGCGGGTGCACTGGGCTAGAATGAGGCTACTTTATTTGGAGGTCGGAGCAGAACAAGTTTAGGGGCTTGTTGTCGAATTACTTAGCGTTGTCGCTTACTATGGCGTGGGGTACTTCGAAATGACAGACCATGTTCTTCCAAATGAAATCCTTGACCTTTGCGTCTGTTATCTTTGCTATGAGCTCGGCCTTCGTCCATTTCATGAAGTAGTCGACGACTACCACCACGAACTTACACTGCCCTTTGCTCAGAGGTAGGCGTCCCAAGATGTCGATGCCCCATTTGGAAAAGGGCCATGGGCTTGTGATGACTTTCAGCTCTTCTAGTGGCTTTCTAAGTACAGTCGTAAAGTGCTGACACTTGACACACTTCTTGGTGAACTCTTGGGCGTCCCTCACCATTCTAGGCCAAAAGTAGCCTTGCCTGAGTGTCTTGTGGGTGAGGGAGTATCCTCTAGAGTGATTCCCATAAACTCCTTCATGGATCTCTCATAGGGCATAGTTAGCTTATTCTAGTGAAAGGCACCATAATAGTGGCAAGGAGTAGCCTTTCTTGTATAAGATGTCTTGTAAGATGGTAAATTTAGAGGCTCTCATCCTAAGTTTCTTGGCTTCTAGCGGGTCATCTGGCAGCACGTCCTCCTAGAGGTATGCCCTTATTGGGTTCATCCAATTTGATTTAACAGATGCATAGTTGACGCTTCTTCCACATCTAGCTTGGTTCAAACTGGTGACCTATGAATGCTAGTCCTGGCAGGGCTTTCGAGGATGAGGCAAGCTTGGCCAGTGCATCTGTAACCATATTGTCTTCCCTTGGGATATGATAGATCTGGAAGTGTTGGAACTTAGTAAGAAAGGCTCGCACCATAGGAAGGTACTCTTGTGTTGGGCTTCCATTTTGATCGTCAACCTTAGGCCAGAGAGGAGGGCTTCATATTTTGCTTTGTTGTTGGAGGCAGTGAAGTGGAGCTTCACAACATACTTGATGGGAGTTTTGTCGGGGCTAATCAAGATTAGGCCTACTACACCTCCTTCACTAGTCAAGGAGCCATCCACATAGAGCTCCCAGGGAGGTGGTAGAGAGGAGGCCTTGGAGGCCATTGTGGGTGCCTGGGCGCCAGGCTTGGGAGCTTGGATGTCTTGGGTGCCCTTGCAGGGCGCCATGCTGTCTTGTGTGCCCGGGCCTGGTGCCTGAGTGTCTGGGTAAGCTTCTGGTGAGGTTTTCTGAGGTGTTGAGGGCCTGCTGCTCTCTTTTTCTGCCAGTGTGAGCTCCGCAATAAAGTCTGCTAAGGCCTGTGCTTTGATGGCTACCCTTTGTTGATACTAGATATCGAACTCGCCCTGCTTTACTACCCACTTAATGAGTCTCCTAGAGACGTCTGACTTTTCCAGAATCTTTTTTAGAGGCTAGTCCATGACAACAACAATAGTGTGACTATAGAAATAATGTCGAAGGCACCTTGCTGTTGAGATTAGGGCGAGCGCCAGCTCTAGCCCTGAATATCTTATTTTTGCTCCTTGGTATGCCTTGCTCAAGTAATTGATAAGCTTTTATACTCGATCGTTGTCTCTGATGATGACGGAACTTAGTGTCGATTGGAAAATAGAAAGGTGCAAATATAGAGTTTTACCTGGTGAAGCACGTGAAAGAAGGGAAGGCATAGTCAAGTAAGCTGTGAGCTTTTGAAAAGCTTCCTTTTCCTTAGGTCCCCACTCAAAGGCTTTTCGGAGAATCTTGAAAAAGGATAAGTATTTTTCTGCAGACTTGAAAACAAATCAATTGAGTGCTGCAATACTCCCGTTGAGAAGTTGGAGCTCCTTGGTCGAGGAGGGTGATTTCATGTCTAGGATGGCTTTGATGTTTCGGGGTTCGCCTTAATTCTGCTCTAGTTGAACATGATGCCTAAGAACTTTCCTGACCCAACACCAAAAGGCAAACTTCTCATGGTTTAGCTTCATGCGGTATGACCTGAGAA